AATGAATATGTATGGTATCTAGGGCTCCGACTACTACTTTAGAACAGGCGCCAAATAATTATTGTCATATGTTAATATTTCACTTTAGCGGACGATAAATTAGGATTTATTTGTTTACATTTTCGTCGAGTTCTCACTCTTTCGTGAGTCATTGAAATGACGAGTATTCCATATGAATGTTAATTAAATTGGTGTTACATTGTCCCAAAAATATCTTGTCTCTTATTTTTTTAAAATTGTACTTTTAGAAAGAATGTCTGTATGTGTACCTACTACAGTACTTATAATTAATACCGATTATATTATTAGTAAATTGTCACTTTTTTTTCCTAGGCATCGATCACCAGGATCATTAGCCATATACAACTCGTTATTGTTAACGATGCAATTACAGGGATCTATCTCAATATCCTCAAGGGATTATATTGCTATTATACAAGGACAATTCAAAATTTAAAAATTGACATAAACATTTCAAGTTGAGTGACAAAAAGATCAAAATAACTAAACACAAAAAAATAGAGAAACAAAAAACAAACTACAAGAAAAATAGGTAATTATTTACATCACAGTATCACAGTTGGATTAGAGTATCACAGGCGAGTATCACAGTTGGTGGTATATATTAATATCTTTCATAAATTTCAAAATATTTTTAATTTTTTTCCTCCTCAGTTAAATTTTTACGAATTTCACCACGTATATCGAATCTGTTTTTTTCTACCGTATAATGAGGACATTTACATATAATGTGAGTTACTGTCAACTCAACATCACAGACTATGCACATTGGAGGTATTTCTCTATTAGGCAGATATGCATGAGTGACCGCAGTCTGCCCAATACGAAGACGTAAGGATGGGGTTGACGGATCCGTTTTATTGCGCAAAACTTTGAAGCTTTACCTGCCCACTCATCCTGCCATTCCCTTTCTGTTCTTTTATGCAGTAGTTTAAGATCATATCTTTAAGATCATATTTACTAATATAAGGGAAATCAATGGTATCTTTTCTAGCAGCTTGATGAGCAGCTTCATCTGCCATTGTGTTGCCAAGTATATTAGTGTGAATTGGGACCTATACAAACGTGAGTTTGTTTCCCTTTTCGCTACACTCTCGAATAAGCGTCTGAATTTTTTGTTTCAGAGGATTATGGACAAATATGTCATTAATTTTAGACACGATCTCTAAAGAGCCAGAAACAGTTAAAACTCTAGATTGTTTATATTCCTCGTTGACATAGGATAAGGCTTTCCAGATCGCCAAGAAATGTTCTGAAGAAAGCTGTCATGTCTCAAAGTCCATTGGAAAGCTGACTCGTTGGTAATAATTGCAGATCCAGCACCAGTTTGTGTTCTGGAGCCATCAGAATAAATAACAATTTTTTCGTTGTACTGGTTTAGTATTTTCTGGAACTTTTGTTGGTATAATATTTCAGGCGATGTGTCTTGACGTTTTAGTTTGTTCAGGTCTAATATTACTTCAGTTTCAGGTATTAGCAATGGAGGATTTTCATAATGGATTTCATTGAATATCATAGGCAAATGTTCTCCCATATGACGGAATTTATCACTAATCATTTAATACATATAAAGTACTTGTTTTTGTAAATTAACTATTTGCAGGGAAAAAATGGAACTGGCCGAAAAATGCTACTAAAACAATAATACCTATATCTAAAAAATTGATAGATATTTTAGGTAGTTTAATGTTTTAGGTATATGTAGAAAATTCAAAGTTAGGCATGTATATTTTTTCTCTTTATCATTTTTAAAAGGAACACAAACGCTTATATTAAACACAAACTTCGTTGAAAGAGTTTAATTTTATTTTCATGTTTTCATATAATTTTTTTAACGAATGCCATTGTGTCGTTTGCGATATTTTGATAGCACCGTGAAAATGAGTGAAACTATTCAATACGGGGTCATGCGTTTAAAGAAACGTTGAATAATGAGGAAACAACGAATTTTCTGACCTAGATGGACAAGAGTATTGCGACAATGAAGAAAACTTATAGTTGCGATAGTGACTTTTCGAAAGGGAGCAATATTGATTATAAACAATTCGAATATAGTCGTTCAGATAAATCAAAGAATTTATTTTGGAAAGAACGAATACAATTTAATCTTCTAAAAAATTCTGGTCCGTTGTAACCCATGCCGAATAAATTCGAACTTCAAATTAAACGATCAATTAACCACTTTCTTCTGTCTAATTGCTTCTTTTTCTATAAATGAAATATATATTAACAATACCTATATTTCAATAACTGAGGTTACATACCTACTACATATTTCCAAATATTAATACAACTAGATAAACAAACGTACTCACTATTACTAAATATTACCTTAATATTATATTCTTAATATTAATATTTCTAATTATGTGACAGTATTAAAAAAACATCGATTATATTCATCAAAATAATATATTGATAGAACAATGATAAATTTAGACAATAATAAGACGACAATACTTCACACCTTTTACGATGACTGCGGCCTTCTATTTTTAAAATCACAAACCAGAAAACTATAAAATTCCATTTTCGCTTTTCTTTAATACACATAACTGGGTTTTTATAATTTCTTAATTCTACCATTAGAAACACCTTTTCAGGACCTGAATCTGTACCTGAATCTAACTTTGAAAGAACGCCCAATGAAAGTGACTTTTCATCTTATGGTCCGACTGATCTGTGCCTTCTTCAATTGAATCACACTTGAACTCTTACAAACTCTCCTTGTATGACTCTTTATTTTATATATTCTCAGTTTTTAGCAGGACACTTCTCACGATTATTTCTAGTATACTTAAAACACGATGATGATATCTTCCATCTTCTCTTTCTTCTTCTTAGGTTTTAACTCAGCTTCTTAGGTTTACAAACTCCTTCTTCACAGATAATTTATCTAAACTTTCTTGTGCTGTCATTATACTATTAAAACTAAAAATAAAAAAAAAAAAGAATTTCGGACCATTGTCTTTATTTATTTTGCTTACACAACATTTCGGTCAGAAGTATCACTGACCGTTATCAAGTGTGAACTGGGACATTATACTAGTTTCTGACCCCATTGACCTGAGTTTACCGTCTGCCAATTCCATTACCAAATGCTGTTTTGTATGCACTTTCAAAAGTTCTCTTTTCTTCACTCGAAAACTTTCTTTTACTTGGTAATTCTGATGATAACAAGTCTTTTAATACACTATAAGCTTCTCCATCAATGAGAGTTAAAAGTAGAGCAACTTATTTATCATTCTCAACAACATTGCAAAGAAATAGTTATTTCAATCTTTAGATAAGCTGTTAATTCGGTTTCATTTGAGTTAAATTGTTTAATAGATCCAATAAATGTCATTTTTTTCTCAAAATTATACGCACCAACGAATCTTGATTTCTCACTTTACGGCTACTACTCATCGCAAATTTATATTTTTTTATGAAGCTTCATTCAGAACCTGGCAATTAGTGGAATAAATTAGTGGTTTCAATTACACTTTATACTTTTTGGTTTACGATCATTCACAATGTCTAAAAAGCACAATTAAAACTAATAGATTATCCTAGCAACAGCTTACGTTAGTCAGTTGTATCCATAGAGAAAGCCTAATATTTAGCTTATAAAACAATCAACTTTTGATTCCTAACCATAATTTCTCTTGACGCAAGATAATCAAAGGCCAAAATTATATTTCTCGCAAATTTTGGAGTATAATTAGTGGAAAAGTTAAAAGTTTGATAACTTTTTCTACTAATTGAAGACGTTTACCACTAATTTTGACATTCTGAATGCTTATATTGAAATTAAAGGAACAAATTTCTACGCTAATTGAAACCACTAATTTATCCCACTAATTGCGAGGTCCTGAATGAAGCTTTAATATATAGACAGAGAACAATGCCAATTTGATACAATACCAAGACTACGCTGCTTCACATATTTTTCCATGCCTGCGGGCTTCTATTTTTAGAATCACAAAAGTAGATTGTATAGGAGGGGGAAAGTTATTTACCTCGACGGTATAGCTCTATTATGCTGCCTTTTCTTGAATTATAACTCAACATACAGTCTCAAGGCTTTGATAAAAGCCAGTATCTGAAACGGATATACAGAGGTTAGTTCTCCATCTTCGATCTCAGTCATATCAAAGCTTATGGCACCTTATGTCGTCTCGACGCACTCAGTCATGAGGTGTTCTGGGATTTCCCCGTTTTCCCTGTATAATCTGTATTCGCCGTTGTTTCTTAGCTTCAATCTCCTGAGGTTGAGAAGACAGTGTCTTGTTAAAAACCCTTTACTAAAATCTAGGAAAATCTTTATTTTTTCTAGGCAGTGGTAAGTCCTGAGAAATTTATTCGAGTCTGGTTTCCAGGTTACGGATGGATGGTCTCGGATGGTTCTGAGTTCCGCTTTAAGTTGGTTTCTACTTGGAAAGCATAACAGCTCTGGTCCAGTTAGTGGAGTGTTCGCTCCTTTTCTAGCTAGCTTGTTTGCTTGCACTTCCTTCTATCCCTTGATGGACTGGCACCCAGAGTAGGAGGACTTAATTTTCTTTGCCTAATTTGTTGAGCATTCTCTAGGCATTCTTTGACCAAATTCGAACTGATGGTTATTGATTGCTTTTAAGGCTGCTCGACTATTGTATAAGATGGCTTCTTGTTTCCGACATCACAAAACAAAAACATTTAATTACAACACCTATTTAAATCTCCAATATTAACAATACTAACTAAACAAACGCGTCCACGGTAACAACATATGAATTTCTAATAATTAGCTCTAAACAGTAATAATTTTGTGGTACGAACTCCAACATAACCGACGCCTAATAAATTCCAACTGCCCCCTGTTTGACGTAACAAATTATTTACCATTTCCCCTCTTCCCACCACTCTCCTCCGATCCATTAACCCCTTCCTCCGTCATCAACCTGTTCTCCGCCCGGCCGCGACGCCTCTGCCGCCACTTGTCCATCTCCTGCGATGTCTTGACGGGCAGTCGTCGTCGGCGCGGGTGGGGGAAGAAGGGCAGCAGCGTTCCGCTGTCACGACCACTCACAAAGTGACTTTTCAAAGGGCGCCCCCCACCACCGCCCTTTCTAGTCCTAAACGCGACGGAAGGGTCTCGGGCGCGCGATGTAAACAGTTCAAAGGCAGCTCTCGTCGCGTTCGGGTCTCCGTGCTGTTGCTGAACGCCGACATCGGCTATGATCGGCTTTGTTACAGAGTCGCTTGACGGCGATTCTCGCTGATGCTGCTGCCGGTGAAAAGAGAATAAGAATTGTTGAGAGGAAATTGCAGGAGATCGGTAGTTTTTTGAGGTGTCGGTGAAATAATTGTGATTATTCGTTTGGTGCTGAGAGGTTGAAGTTGATGAAAGTGACTTAAACTATTTTCGTCGAAGTGGAAGAGAATTTTTGTGGGATTGAGGAGCAGGACATGATTTTCTAAAAACGCTATTTATTTGCAAAAATGAGAAGCAAGAGTGTTCCGGTGAACTTGTTGATTAGGAAGATACACACAGCTTTAGGTAAGTGTCGTTTCGTTAAAGTTGATGAAACTTTCTGTAGAGTTGGAAACTTAAAGTAATGTGAGTAAACTCACTAACTAATGCAATGTTTGAAAGATTCGTTTGCATTCAATTTCCTATTTGTCAATGCTAACTATTATTTTAACAAAAAATCAGTTTTGATTCTGGACTTAAATTTGGTGAAAAATAAGACTTGCTAAGTGCAAACTGTTTATTTTGGATGTTTAAATCTTGTTTTCAGTTAAACAATAAACAAATAACTGGTTAAACTCTATTTTCCTAACATACGAAGGAACTTCATAATTAATTACGGAAAAAGTTTTATGGAGTTAAAAAATTTGAGTTTCTATAGATGCTTCATAATTAAACTTCCTTTGATTGTCCAGTGTACACCCTTCGATTGGCGGAAGTGTAATATTATAATTATTATAAGAATCAGAAATATTAGTTTCAAAATCTGTTGATTTTGTGGTGAAAAATATCTTAAAATGGTGAATTATTGGTTGTAACATTGACAATTTTTCGTTCTTCGTTATTAATTACAGAAAAAGTTTGATGGAGTTAAAAAATTGAGTTGCCATTGATGGTTCATAATTAACCTCAGTACTGCTAATTTTGGGTCCATTTTTATTCAGGTAGAAAAAGTTGTCCATCTCTCAATTGACGGAAATGTAATATCATAATTATTATATGAATCAGAAATACCTATTAGTGTTAAAATTTCCCGTTTTGTAGTGAAAAATCTCTTAAAGTGGTGAATTATTGGTTGTAACTGTTGACTATTTTTCGTTCTATTGGCATATTTTTTAATAAATATCCTTTACTGTGCACCTATAACCTCATATTTTCAAGTTACTTTAGTAACAAAGAAGTTTTGTGACATCTCTCCCTACTCCTGATAATCTGTCACAGTTACTGGAATTGGCTGTAGTGAATTTACATTAGAGGAAACAGACAAATTATTATTAAAATACTGTGCATGATAAAAAAAGAATAATGAAATGTCAATATTAATTAATATTTAAGAAAAAGATAAGGCTATAACACTAATTTGAATAAATATCTACCTTTGATATCACTCGTATGACGGTTGTAATATATGATAAGCATTACTGGTTTGACAACTATTTTCAGAAGATATTGTTAACAAGTAAGTCATGACAGGCAATAAAGTAGATTTTTTTTTCAAAGATTTTTCTATTGTTTGTTACTTTGTATGTCACTTACTTCATAGATCAGTATTACAGTTAACAAGTATTCATTTGTGACAATCTAACAGATATTAAACAAGAACCAAACATAATTCAAAATTATTTTTCAAAATATCTTAGATACTTAGATACTTTCAAGTTACGTTAGTAGCAAAGAAGTTTTGTGACACCTACTCCTGATAATCTGTCACAGATACTGAAATTGACTTTAGTGAATTTGCATTAGAAGAAACAGACAAATTGTTATTAAAATACTGTGCATGATAAGAAAAGGTTAATGAAATGCCAATATTAATGAATATTTAAGAAAAAGATAAGGCTATAACACTAATTTGAATAAATCTACCTTTGAATATCACTCGTATGACGGTTGTAATATATGATAAGCATTACTGGTTTCACAACTATTTTCAGAAAATATTGTAGATGCCTGTCATGCAATAAAACAGAATTTTCTATTCCAAGATTTTTGTATTGTTTGTAACTTTGTATGTCACTTACTTCATAGATCAGTATTACAGTTAACAAGTATTCATTTGTGGCAATCTAACAGATATTAAACAATAACCAAACATAATTCAAAGCGATTTTTAAAAAAATTCTTGCAATTTTTAAGCGTTCTTACATTTTCAGTTTGACAACTATCTCCGGAAACTATTTTTTTGTAATTAACAATACAAACAACATTCTATATAATTGACATTCTGATTTTTTGATATCGATAGAAGGAGACCTCGAGTATATAAAGTCTTTCCTTCGAGTCATGGAAGATTTTGTCAAACGATATTAATAATAGACAGAAAATATAATTTTTTTGTGAATTAAAATGGTAGAAAACAACTTTCATGTGTTTTCTCGGGTTGGACAGAATATATTTATTTCATAATAAAAAATGTACAAGCTTCATTAAATAGAATCTGAAGAACAAATCTAAAGAAAATTTAGAATAAATATATATTTGCAATTGTAGACAAAAATACGTTTGAAATAATATCTGGCTCAATGTTTGGGTTATTTTACATTTATTATTTTTTGTCTACGTTTATTTGTCAATTTATGAATGAAAATAGACGTCGAAGTTCACAGCAACAAGGAGGTAATGTAATGTAACAAATTCTGAGCGCGACCCGTATTTTCTTTTAGTTTGCCAAGTTTTTTGCAGCGAGAAAAAACTGATTAGTTGCAATAATACTACTGACAATCCGTTTAATCAAGTGGCACTTTTGACATAGTAAATGATGTTGGATCGGTGCCCGCAAAATAGATTTTCAGCCTTGGCAATTGGACAATGCTTCTATAAAATTAACTTTTATAAGTTCTTTATATAAAAAATGAATCTCGGGCAAATCCTACTAAAATAATTTAATACACAAACGATATTTCCTTTAAAATTATGGTATTCAATTTACTTCACTTAACCAAGCATGAGTCAGGGACTCATAAGCATGTGTGGTGTGTGGTCTTAGCTGCAGAGGCTATCAAACCATGGACAATATTTTATTTGCCACAAAAATCAGTTTTCATTATTTTGCTTTTTTATGCATGATAGTTTTCAATTTGCAATCTTCAAAACCAGATTTTCACCCTCCCACGCTGGCAGCATCCGACTAAATAAGGCCTCTATATAGTCTGTCCAACGACAAGATCCTTGACAGTGATAGATGTGTCTGTCATTTTATTTTCAAATTAGTTTATTTTATTTTACAAAGAAATAAGTTGGTACAATTGGAACGCATAGCAGAAAATTAATATATTTAAAATTTGATTGACAAGTGATTACTTCCAAATTTACAAAATTACCAAACCAAACCAAAAACTGTATAAAATTGAGAAAAACTAATCGAGTTATTTTATTAAAAATAATTGCAGTATGTGTAATACAAAACAAGCAAGGGTTTATTTAAAAAACACCACATACCACAAAAGATATAAAAAAGATTTCAAGCTCAAGCAACTTCCTGCATTTATTGTTACATTTATCAATATAATTATTCAATATGATTATTTTTTACCTATCGTGTGCTGCTATTTTACAGACACTCCAGTTTTTGGTATCATATACAAGATAGTATACAAACTTCATTTGTGGCTAATACATCTCTGACAAACTGTCTCTCGCGGTCTCTGGGCACCGAATATTAACTGTAAACTATGGTATGGGTCAACACTTAATTTTCCCGCGAGTATTCCTCCACTTAATTTTAAAAAACACGAAACACACGTAATAACACATTCCAAAATGCAAAATATTTATCATTTCTATTTGACATAATTTGACATAAAATTATAACCTATAAATTGGCAAGAGTTTGACAACTCTCAAAAATCTTAAGACGAGTTCACACGCATCGGCGTTCGTTTGTCGTTCATCTTTCCGTCAAACCAATAATATTGAAATATGATCTGTCAATTTTGGAATAAACGGGTTAAAAACAACAAGAGATGACGCATGACGGATTTATATATCAAGCCATCCATAGTTAACTTTAAAAATATTAGAAACTTTTTTTAGTTAAATAAATGGATTGGTATGGACGTCATCTGCTTTTCTTCTGTCATCATCTGTCGAAATCTTACCTGAGAAAAAAAAACAGAGTATACCTCCCTGACAACGTGAAACGTGAAAATATTCACTAAATATAATTCTCACATATACAGGGTGGTCCGAATTGTATTCCGGAAACTTCGGCAGCATATTCTGCAAATAAAAGTAAGTAAAAAAGTTCGTATGTCCTAAAATGCTTAGTTTCGGAGATACAGGGTGTAGAAGTTTCATTTTTATTTCGATTTTTTCCTAATAATTTCTGAAGTAACGGCAATATTTGGATGAAAATTGGTGTCTGGGAGTTTTTTGACATGAGAAATTTGAATTTTATGTCAATATGACACCTATACTTGTAGATGGGCGCCACCTACATATTTTCTAACTGGTTTGAAGAGTAATAGCTCTTCATCCCTACCTGTATAAAACTACTGAGTAAAAAAAAATATACATTTATGACTTTTTCCACGTAAAAAAGGCGTCTTGGTAAAAATCGCTACGAGTAATGGTTCCCGAGATATTTGGAATAGAAATTATCAATACCTATCATCATTGACATAAATTAAACATATTGACTAAATAGTTATTAGACTGAAATCATAAATCTGAAATGTTTTTGTGTCAAAAGTTGAACAGAAATTGTTTTATCATAATTTTTTTTTGGAAAAATTATGATAAAACTTAATTTATGATAAAATTTTAATTTAAAAAAATAAAAAATCCCCAATTTTATCATTGCAATCAAATAACTATCTACTCAACATATATGTTTATTTCTTGTTCAAAATGACGTGTATTGACTATTTCCGTTCTAAATATCTTGAGAACGGTTGCTCGTAGCGATTTTTGCCAAGAGATATTTTTTACGTAAAAAGTCACGGAAATGTATATTTTTTCACTAAGTAATTTTATACAGGTACGGACGAAAAGTTATTACTCTTCAAATGAATTAAATCACATGTAGGTGGCGCCCTCTACAAATGGGAGTCATATTGAGATCAAAATCAAATTTCTCATATCAAAAAACTTCCAGACACCAATTTTTATCGAAATATTGAGGTTAGTTCAGAAATTATTTGGAAAAAATCGAAATAAAAATGAAACTTCTACACCCTGTATCTCCGAAACTAAGCATTTTAGGACATACATTTATACGAACTTTTTTACTTATTTTTACCTGCAGATTATGCTGCCGAAATTTTCGGAATACAGTTCGGAACACCGTTTGTTTGGGTAGTATTTTACAA